CGCGCCAGGGAGGGAGGTCCAGCGCGGATCCAAGAAATCCGCGCGGTTCTCCAACATGTTATGTTTATGTCACTTGTTGTTCCCCTACAGATGCAGTTGTGGGCACCGTCGTTCTGTATATCGTCTTCAGTGGGTATCCTATGGGGGCCTTGGGTGGAGCTGCGCGTGGGGCCACGAAACCTGGGGAAGATGTGAGGGGATGGGCCGGGTGGGACGCATGCGAACGGTGGCACTGGGACATTGGGTGGAGCTCCCTACGGGACCACGGAACGTGTGAAGGGCGCGCCGACATGGGCGGTGGGGACGCATGCAGGCGGCACCATTTGGGCCGTGGGTGGAGCTCCCTATGGGGCCACGAAACGTGTGAGAGGTGTGCCGAAATCGGTGGCGGGGACGCATGCGGGCGGCACCATTTGGGCTATGAATAAAGCCTCCTAACGGCGCCACAGAACGTGTCAGGTGTGTGCCGAGATCGGCGGCGGGGACGCATGCGGGCGGAACAATTTGGGCATTGGGTGGAGCTCCCTATGGGAGCCACGAAACGTGTGAGGGGTGTGCCGAAATGGGTGGCGGGGACGCATGCGGGCGGCACCATGTGAGCCTCGGGTGGAGCTCCCTGTGGGGCCACGAAACGTGTGAGGGGTGTGCCGAAATTGTTGACTGGTGCGGAGGGCAGAGGCAGGGACGGGAGGAGGGAGGAGCGGGAGGAGGGGGACGAGGAAGAGGAGGAGAGGGACGCGGGCCGCTGTCTGTTGAAAACGGAACCTAACACCACAAAATGGTTGGGAAAGATCTAGACAGAGGTTATTCATCGTTTTCGGTCTCTCAGAGCTCCTACGGGGTATGGGGACCGCCCAAAACGACTCGGAATGAAAAAACGGTCAGAGGGATGTGGTCGACAGATAGGGGTGCCCGTGTCTCCAAAAGACGAAACGCCAGATGTCTGGGCCCCGACGTTGCAATTTTTATCACCACGAGCGTGTTCGCCCAGCTTCGGACCCCGGGACCCTCACAGATCGATTTGGCTTGAAGAATGACGCAAAAAGATGGGGTCCGAAGCTCTGGTTGCTATTTTTGGCGGAGTTGCAACTGCTTCCAACGGCAGAGCTGAGGGTGCGAGCACCGGGCTGGAATCGGCGATGCCCAGACCCCTTCGCGTCGTGGAACAAAAAATCACGACGGAAGGCTTCTCCCTGTTTTCGCCCTCTGGGGGCCCGGCCCCACAGGCAAGGGGGTCCAGACCTCTGGTGACCCACGCCTTGAAAAAATTAAAACGTCGGGGGGGAAAGGTCTTCAAAACTTTTTGGCTGGTCGTTCGAGGTTCCAGATTTTCAGACGTTTTCGTCGGCTATCTGTGGCTTTCCAGCCTCGGGATGCTCTGCGGCAGCTGCGCGTCGCCGAGAGCGCGTCAGGGGTGCTGGGATCGTCCCGCATGGCCCCGCCGGAGACTCGAGCTACGAAACCAGACGACGAGGATCACCGAATCGGGAGGGGAAGCATCGGGCTAGAATCGGCGATACATCGCCGATAAATTGGCGACATGCCCCCGATAGCGCAGCCGTTCGCTCTCCTAGGCTGGGCGGGCCTATCAGGCCCCCATCGGCGATCAATGGGCGATTGTGGGTCGGGAACTTTTGCTTCGCGTGTCGCCGCGGCAGCCCCGGCGACACGCTATCCCTTGCAGGCGGATGGCGTGTCGCTCCGATCCGCGGGGCGGGAGGCTCGGGAAGGCTTGGGACGTTGACGCCTGGGGACTGGGATGTGGATAGCGTGTCGCGCCAAAGGGCGGTGGGCCAGAACCGGCGGCACGACACGCGAAGCCAAAGTTCCTGACCATGAACCCCCCCGAAGTTGCCCCCTATGGCCAGACGCGGGCGGGGACGCTGCGGCGCGTGCGTTGGCGGCCTCTCGGGCCCAGAGGGGCCGCGCCGAGGAGGGGGCCCAAGGGCGGTCGCACGGGCAGTCCAGGAGGAGAGGCGGGGCAGGAAGTACAGAGGCGGAGAGTGGCAGGAGTGGCAGGAGCTGGGCAACTGTCTGCCAGGGTGCCGGTCCGCACTCGGGGCGGGAGCGGTCGCATCGAAGGCCGCACTGGGCAGGCTGCAACCCTCGGTTCTCTCGGGGAAGCAGGACTGTCGTCCTACGGACGTAGGCCGCATAAGAAGAAGACGAAGAGGAAGAAGAAGGCAAGATGGCGGTTAAAGTGTATTGAGTTTCGGCCCACCCCCGAGATAGAGGGGCAACAGGAATACCCTGCGGCTCTTGAACTAAGAAGCCGCTGAAAGTAGACTGGAATCGGGGAAAGCAATAAGACCTACTTTCAAAGAAGAGCTCATATATGTCATAGGTAGATCACGCACCCAGACATTTAGCGTCGCGAAAGAGACTTGACTGAAGGCCGTGTCCCAGATCTGGAACTCCAGGAGCCTGTTTCGGGACCTGCGGCCGCTAAAGAAGACCCTGAGAATGAAAAAGCAAGCCCTAGGAGGGGTTCGAAAGGTCTAGGGGGGCCACGTCAAGAAGAAAAGCATTACGTCGGATGGCTGGGAAAGGAACAGAGGAGCTGGCTGGGCACCCAGGCACCAAGCCGAACTCATCCTCGCACCTTCCGCCAAAAGAGGCCTCTACGCGTAACGGTGCCTCTGCTCCCAGTGGCACCCAAGAGCCACCGCTCAGCCGCTCCAGCGGATAGATGGCCCAGACATCAAACGCCATGCGCACGGCGTCATCGCCAGGAGAGCTGGGGTGGAGGGAGCCAGAGGAGGAGGAGTAGGAGGAGGAAGGGGAGAAGAGGAGGACGACGAGGAAGAGGAGGAGGGGTAGAGGGATGGGGGGTAGGAGAAGGAGAAGGAGAAGGAGGAGGAGGGAAGGAGGAGGAGGAGGAGAAGGAGGAGGAGGAGGAGGAGAAGGAGGTGAAGGAGAGGGGGTTAGGGAAGGCGAGGGGAGAAGGAGGAGGAGGAGGAGAAGAAGGAGGAGGAGGAGCTGGAGGATGAGGAGGAAGAGGAGGAGAGGGCAGGGAAGGGGGAGGGGGCGGAGGAGGAGGACCAGTGAAAACCCAAGAGTCATCAACGGTGTTGGAATAAACCCTCCCACCAAGCTCCCTCTTCATAGGCCTCTACAACGGTTCACTTCCACAGGGAACTGCCTCGTTGGAAGACAACCTCTTGAACACCCTGAAGCATGCCAAAACATTGTTGTCGGGATTCCAACGCCACGCATCAACCTGACTGTTGCGTCCTGACGATCTTGAATCACACCAGAACACCATCCATCCCTGGGACTTCAGCACTGCACATCATCGTAACTACTGCACCCTCCTAATCCTGAATCCTTCCAAAACACCATCTCTGGTACGCTGATCATGGGAATCCGTGAAACTCTTGCACATGTTACAAACGAATGCACGCGGCGCTAAGGCGAGAGCCAAATTTTGAAAAGGAACTGCCCTCAATATGTGAAACGCTTGCAAATGTTCAAGTCCACTGTGCGCGGCGCCAAGGCGAGAGCCATATTTTGAAACCGGTCCGCCCTCCAACTGTTAAACTGTTGCAAATGTAAACTAGTGTGCACGGCGCTAAGGCGAGAGCCGCATTTTGAAAACCACCCGCCCGCAATCCGTGGAGCTCTTCCACATGTTTAAGTCGAATGTGCGCGGCGCTACGGCGAGAGCCATATTTTGAAAACGACCCGCCCTCCATCTGTGAAACTGTTGCCAACGTTTAAGCTTCAGGGGCATAAATGGTGAGGAAGTCTCAAGCGAAACGCCCGGCCCGCCCTAAAAACTGGCCTCGGGGTGCGACAGAGAGAAGTTATTCATAAGGAGAAGGAATGGAGGAGGAGGAGCAGCAGGAGGAGGAAGAGGAGGAGGAGTGGAAGAGGAGGAGGAGGAGGAGGAGGCAAGCGTACAACGGGAGGAGGAGGAAGAGGAGGAGGAGGAGGAGGAGGTAGGGGAGGAGGAAGAGGAGGAAGAGAAGGAAAGGAGGAGGAGGACGACGACGACGAGGGGAAGGAGAAGAGCAAGGAGGAGGGGCAAGAGAAGGGGGAGGGGGAAGGAGAGAAGGGGAGAAGGGAAGAAGGGTAATGAGGGGGAAGAGAAGGAGGAGCAGGAGAAGGAGGGACACAGGGGCAGAAGGGGGGGGAGGGGGAGGGGGAGCAGGAGGATAAGGAGGGGGGGAGAAGGATGAGGAGGACAGGAGGAGGACGGAAGGAGGACGGGCGAGGACCAGACGAGGACTGGAGGAGGACTGGAGGAGAACTCCAGGAGGACTGCAGGAGGACTGCAGGAGGAGGGGAGAGAGAGAAGGATGGAGCAAGAAAAGCAGCCGCCGAAAGTTGTCACACACTGAACATCCCTCCTCATGATCCTCCCAACCTCCTCCCAATCCCTCCTCCCCTTGGAATCGAAGGATCGGCGGCCAGCGAAAGCGGGCAAACGACCTGCGGGGTCTTCGAAGATCAGCCGATCAGGTGGAGCGCTACCTGGCGCCCCTTGGTGGGTTGCGTGAACTTCGCGGTAGAAAACTGTCCTGGACGCCAGCCTACCCTACTGAATGCCGCGGGTTATGATCACTGGACCCACCCCGTACCCAAGAAGGTTTCGTCGTATGTTCTCATTTGCGGTGATTGCTTCCTTGCCCTGCGGCCAACGTTGGGACATGCACATCTTCAAGATCATGCTGCCGCTCCTTTGGATGTATGTATGGACGCCTCTACAAGGGCCCCAGCCGTGCACACAATGCTATGCCGACCACAGACATGAGAAGAAACGAGGAGAATAGCAGCAGCACTGCCAGCTCGCATAGGCTGTGCGAAGCCAGGGCGCTCACACCGTGAAGATGCGCCCAGGGAAGAAACGAGGACGAAGGAATGAAGAACGGAGCCAAGAAAGTGGGGCAGAGAACGCTGCAGAGCGCAGGAGGGATGGCAGGAGGAAGCAGAGAATCGGCTACGCAAAGAAGAGCCGATGGTGCCATAGCCGGCAGGCGCTGCGAGCGGCGGTCTCCTCACGGGGATCCGAGCACGAGTAGCGCGCGATGAGCCGCGAGGCCCACCGCCGTTCCCACCGCGTTGCCCAGCGTGCCCACCAGCAGCGCCGGCTTCGCCATGCGCCGCGCGCCTTTTGCGAGCGCCAGCGACAGCGCCGTGGCTGGCCCCCCGATGCTCGCCGAGCTCGCAATCATCAGCTCTTGGCGGCCGAAGCCCATGGCGCGGCCTGCCAGGAGCACGACCGCCAGGTGGCCCGCGTACAGGCAGAGCCCGAAGGCCACCAGGGGGGCGTACCGCAGCAGGCCGTCCAGGCGCCCGGCGGTGAAGCCCGCGGAGGCGAAGTACAGGTACAGCAGGGGCATGCCGAGGGCCTCGCCAGGCCTTCTTGGCGGTGCGCAGGCGGGGGTGCAGCGAGCGGGGGGGGGGCCCGCCAAAAGAATCGAACACACCTCCCATTGAGTGTACCTCCACCCTTTCTGTCTGTCCATCCTGATTGTACCCCCCAGGAGAACGAAACCTTCCTGGATGAGGGCCACCTCTGCTAGGGCAAACCTTAATTACCAGTATCCTCCCCTGTCAAATATCGACAGCGATTGGAATTGTTCCGTTCTGTCGACAGACCGCGCGGTGGCCCCCGGCTGCCCGAGACGCGGCCAGAGAACGGCCGCAGGTCCCGAGACCGCGCGGCTAGCCCGACCCCGGAGGGGTAGGAGGGAGAGGAGGGGGAGGAGGAGGGGGAGGAGGAGGAGGAGGAGGAGGAGGAGGAGGAGGAGGAGGAAGAGGAGGAGGAGCAGGAGGAAGAGGAGGAGGCGGAGGCGAAGGAGGGAGGAGGAGGAGGAGGAGGAGGAGGAGGAGGAGGCCCCCTGACTCTGTGTACGGAGGTAAACGACCTGAGAGTCGAACCTACCGTATGGTCCGTAGGCAGAGGATAAGGAGGATGAGGGATGGAGATCTCTTATCCTCACGCCCGACGGGTAGCGGGCGCAAACTATCCTGCAGGATACCCTATATGATCCTATACCTGAGCCGAGAAGATAGCAGGATACATGGATAGAAAGGGGAGATGAGCGGTCTTCACACACAGATTCGCCACATGCCGTGGTCACCGCACCGCTCGGGGCGCCCCCGAGAGGAGAGGCCCGCCGGGCGCCTCGGCGGCCCGACCGCACGCCCAGAGGAGGCCAATTCTGTCGGAGGCCTCTCTGGCCCCCCTGCGGAGAGGCCATCGCCTGCCCCGCTCGGGAGGGCGCTCCCCCCCCCTCGCCCCGCCCCTGCGCGCCAGCCGGCCTGCAGAGCGGCGCGGCGCCAGGGATGCTGGCGACCTGAAGGGCAACGATACACCCCTGCTTAGAGCTGAGAGAACATTACGCCAAGAAAATGGCCTTCACTCCAAGCGTTTTCTGAAACCGTAGTCCAGGTCCGCATACACGAACGTAAGCTCCAGGAAAACGACCACGGGTCTGGTCCAGAGTCTTGGCTTTCTTGACCGAAATCTGCAGTCCACGAAGGGTGTCGCTTTCTCTGAAGATTTCTGATGGGTGTCAGGACGGGGGGGGTGGCGGCTGGCACAGAGGGGGGGGCCTCGACCTGGAATCAGCGATACATCACCGATAGATCGGCGACGGCTACCCGATTGCGGATCCGAACGTTCCTGGTGAGGCTGGGGCCATCGGGCCCCCATCGGCGATGTGAGGATCGATGCGTCCCCCCCTCCTCCTCCTCCTCCTCCTCCCTCCTCCTCCTCCTCCTCCTCTTCCTCCTCCTCCTCCTCCTCCTCCTCCTCCTCCTCCACCTCCTCCTCTTCCTCCTCCTCCTCCTCCTCCTCCTCCTCCTCCTCCTCCGTACCTCCCTCCCTCCTCCTCCTCACTCCTCCTTCCTCCTCCTCCTCCTCCCTCCCACTCCTCCTCATCCTCCTCCTCCTTCTTCATTCTTATTTCCTCCTCTCCTCCTCCTCCTCCTCCTCCTCCTCTCCTCCTCCTCTTCCTCCTCTTCCTCCTCCTCCTCCTCCTCCTCCTCCATACTTTTGGCTTCTTGGGGTTCTCTTGGGGCCACTTGGGCGGTCGTCATTTCTCGCTCTTGTCTGATCCCAGCCTGGAGTGTTTCAGCAATGTGTTGTCCATCATCGAGTCTCTTGGTCGTCTGCCTCCGCAGATCTCGGTGGTTCTTCTGGCTCTGCTGCCGAAGCCTGCTGGTGGCTACAGGCCGATTGGGGTGTTTTGGTCGTGGTTCAGAGTTTGGGTGCGCTGCAGGCGTTCTCTCGCTTTGGACTGGGAAATGGCACACCCTCGTCAGCACTGGGCCGCAAGGCAGCACCGTGGAGCACCCGATGTCGTGTGGCGTGAGGCCGTTACTGCTGAAAGCGGAGTCGCCAAGCGGGAAACCAGCTGCAGTGTTTTCTTCGATGTCCAAGTTTTGTGAACATGTTTCTTTAGTCAAACTTGCGGAGCGTTGCCGCAGACACGGCTTTCCCACAGTTATTGTCAGGTTGTGTTTGTTTGCGTATCGGTGCGGCCGATTCTTGAGTCTCGGCGAATGGTTAGAAGGCCCGTACTTTTGCCGATCGGGGGTCGTTGCTGGCTGCTCGATGGCCACTACGCTGATCCGCATTTTCTGTCTCGATGGGTACGACAGCTTGCAGCTTCCCCTCGCCTGGACCTCGATGTGTACATCGATGATCAGGGGCTGTCTTCGACGAGACCTGCCGCGCAGGTCGTTTCGCACATTGTGGCTGGAGCTAAGGCGTTGCACAGTGTCGTGCAGTCCGAGTTCGGTTGCTCCTTCGCTTTGGATAAAACTGCGACCGTGTCCAGTTCGAAGCATGCCGGCACGCAGATTTCAGCTGAGTTCAGTCATCTGGGCGGTCAGTGCTCGACTTCGGCAGTGAACCTAGGTGTGGATTACACTGCTTGGCGCTCAGTTCGCACGGCGGGCAGGTCGGCCAAGCTGAAGGCAAGGTTGGCTACGGCAGCCCGTGCGGGGAGGCGCCTAGGGAAGCATGCCAAGGCGCTCAAGAGGTCCACAATCCTGAAGGTCTTCTCGGCGGGGCATCCTACGGTACCGAGGTCACTGGCACTAGCGACCAGGACCGTAGACAGCTTCGGCGTCGTGTCTTTGTCGGTGGTCTGGCCTCTTAGCCAGCTGAGGTTTTTGACTACTTGCGACATCTTCGACGGCGACCCCACTTGGAGGACGGCCACGGCGCCAATCACCAGGTGGAGCAAGGAGGTTGGGATTAGTCAGACGGGGGCCTACAGGTGGACTCTTGGGCTTCCCAGGCTCCGCCGCGCTTGGACGGCCGATCTTTCTTCCGACAGCTGCTCGTGGCGGCGTGTGGCCGGGCCGATCTCGGCCATGCGCATGTCATTGGTGCGGCTCGGGTGGCAAATGCCCGATTTCATGACCCTCATCCATGCTTTCGGGCTGTCAGTCCCTCTCGGTATTTTCTCCCCTGCCTTGGTTAAGGTTTTTGTCCGCGACGGTTACTTCGGGATGCTGGAGAGGGAGTCCGGGGAAAAGAGGGGGATGTTTCCCGGGATCTGTGACGATGTTGTCAAAGAGTGCTTTTCCCCCGGGAGTCGCAAATTCTCTCTGCTGCAGAAACCTCGGATTCGAGCTTTCGCGACGGAAACTTTTCTCACGGCGGCCCGGGCTGAGGAGCTCGGCTACTACGTCGGCACATCCTGCAACCCTTTTGCGGCGCTCGGGACATCATCTTCCACGGCGGTGGGAATACCCCCACCAGCCCATAGCGGAGGATCGGGCCGCGGCTGTGGAACAGGACCTGATCGAAGCTGCTCTGGCTGCTACGGCGTCTGGCGACAAAAACGCCATCTTCGTTTTCATGTTTGGAGCCTTTCGGCATCCCAGCGACTCCTATCCGCGTCCTCGCACTGAGTCTGACGATGGTCCGATCCTTGTGTGGCAGAAGGATAATGTGATTCCGCCCGACGGCGCTCCTTTACCGTCTGGAGTCTGGGGTGACTTGTTTGTCGACGGGTCGTGCTCTCGTCACGTCATTCGTGAGCTGTCCCGAGCGGCTCGCTGCGTATGCATGTCCAACTCCGAAGGTGAGGTGGTCGCGGACTTCAGGGCCCCCGTTTGGAGCCCATGTCCCCAGACCCCTCAGAGTGCTGAATACAGTGCTTACACGTGGTGTTTTGTTCTTTCTCGTTGTCCCTCGGCCTCTCACATCTACTCTGATTGCAGCAACATGGTTCGCTTAGCGGGTAGATCGAAGGCCGAGCAGCTCTCACCTAAGAAGATGTATGCGGGTGCGTGTCTTCAGCGTCATGTTCAACAGTCGTCCATCGCTGCTTGCACTCTAGTTGCTGCCCACAAAGATTTGGCCGAGGAAGGTATCGATGCGACCGAACGGTGGCGTTGGTTAGGGAACCATCACGCGGATGCCGGCGCGAAGCTTGCCGTGGCCATCCACCCTGATGATCTGGACCAGTTGCAAGCTGCAGACCTGCTTGTCAAACATGCTCGTGCCACGCTCAAGGTGGCAGCTAGCGTTTTATGTCATTGGCCAGCTCTGGACCTGGCTGGTGTAGAGCGAGTGCAGACGCCATCTGTTGCGACTCCCAGCGATGGACATCGCTGGAAGCAATGGGCGGGGGTCTGGAGGTGCGCGGTCTGTTTGCGTGGCAGTCGTGGTAATGTTCGCCCACCTCCAGGCCGATGCCCTCAGGACTCGAAGCTGCACGCAGCTCGTCAGGACTCTCTTGGTCATAAGACGATCGCGTTCGATTGTTCAGATAACTTTGTTCTCTTTATTTGCGTGCGCTGCAAGTGTCATTCGACTGGCGGCCAAGTGCGCGGGCGTGCACACAAGTGCAATACCCCGCCCACACGTATAAGCACCCTCACTATAGTCGCCAGGAGCTTGGAGCCACAGTCGACACGTGCTCTCTGATTGAATGTTTCAAAACGTACACGGATCAAGGTGTGCGTTGAAGGCGTCTGCGCATCCATCCGTTGCAGTCGCTGTCGCTAGGGCTCTCCCTGGCATCTAGAGGCGCGAGCGTGGAGTTCAAACAAATCCTCCTCCTCCTCCTCCTCCTCCTCCTCCTCCTCCTCCTCCTCCTCCTCCTCCTCATCATCATCATCATCATCATCCTGTCGTTGGCCCTGACGACCGCCACGGCCAGCGCGGTAGACACAAGATACGCCCCCCCGGCAGGCGACACGGCCGCCGCCAGCGCCGCCAGGGCCACGGCCAACAGCGACGTCCACAGCGCCCGCGGCCACGCGCTGGCAGCTTCGGCGCCCGGCGCCTCCCTCTCGGCGGGGCCCGCGTCGCCCTCGCCATTGGGCGTGCTCGGCGGCGTGAGGGCGGAGGCGAGCGGGAAGTTGAGGACCGCACAGCCCACCTGTCGGTGGCAACTCACGGGAGCCTCCCACGCCATCTCGCCGGCGCTTGCGATCTCGACGCTGGCCGACGCTCATCGAGCCAGTCGACGCCAATCGACGCTGAATCGACGCTAATCGACGCTAAATCGGCGCTCTTTCATCGACTGCCAGACGCTAGCGTACGCTAATGCACTCTACAGACGGAATTACGAAGACATGCAAAGCTCTCATGATTTGCTGCCGAGTCACCCCCACCCCCAGCCAGGACACCCCCTCCAGACCTGGTGATCCAGAGGACCCTGGGTGTGGAGAGCTGGCTTCTGAGGCTCCGGAAGCCCAAAACCACCCTCAACCCTAGCCCAGACCGCCTGGATCACCAGGTCAGGAGTGGGGGTCCTGGCTGGGGGGGGGGGGGGGCTGTGCTGTCCTCAGAAGTACATCAGGCCGACGACATTGTCCGCCGCCAGCGCGGCGGCCACCAGCGAGCGCGGGATGCGCAGCGCCTCGGACACGGCGATGAAGTTCAGGCCGCTGCCCACGTTCTTTGCGGTCAGGGCGCCTGGGGGGCCCAGGCTGGCCTGGACCACCCGCTGTCGCTTCGGCCACACGCAAGAGTGACCCTGGACAAGAGTGACCCTTGGCGCGCGGCCAAGGGGGAGCCCTTTGTCACTGCACCGACCTTGCAGACGTGCTCCAGCGGATTTTTGCGTGGATTTCTGTCAATGCGAGACCCCGAAACGTCAAGCGAAAAAGGACGTGATGTTCACGTGGATGTTTTGTAATCTTCATTCCTGACAGTGAAAATCCGCACGAAACTCACTTCGAAATCCGGAACGAAACTCTCCAGGATTATCCAGGCCCATCCCATGGTTTTCCGAACGAAATCCGCTCTGCGATGTTGGCGGCATGACCTTTTGGGACACCACCAGGCGCGCAAGCCGCTGCTGTCGCATCGCTTCGCGTCCAGCGATCGGGTGGCCCCATTGTGACCGCACCACAAGGTCCCTCAGGCGCGAAAGGTCACTCTTGCGTCCAGTCGAGCCGCTGCAGAAGCCAGGGTCGTCCCCGAGCCGGACCCCGACGCCACCTTGGCTCCAGCGCCTCGAGCAAAGAGCGTGCCGGGCCGTGGCCGCCCGAGGGCTCCCGAGGAGGCCCAGCGAGAGCCCGAGCGTCAGGGCTGCCCTGCCCAAAGCTCCGAAGTCGTGGTTCTGCACGGTGCGGGCCCCCAGAGCTCTCGACCCCGCCGGCCCCGCGGCCCGAGTTGTCGCCGCGGGCCCCTCTGGGGCGGCCCGATTCTCACCGAGAAAGGTCCCTGGCGGCCGAGGCTGGGGCAGAGCGCCCGTCCTGAAAGTTTCAGGGCGCCGCCTTCTGTCGGCACAATCAGCCTCTGGACTTGGCCTGGAGCGTACCCTGACCAGGATGTCGACACGGATCCAGCCGTGGCGGCAACCGTCGCACCAGGAGGCCCCAGGAAGGCCGAAAACACATCAGAAGTCCTTACAACCACGCCGAAGACACAGCAAATATCAACGACAATTTAACTGTTGGCACGGACCGAAGCAATCAACTCTTCGCAAAAGGGGGCAGGACATCACGGGCGGCAAGCAGAAAATCCTAGCAACCAGGGCCAGCGGGGTTTGGGCTCCCGTGGACGGCGGCACTGACACCGCAGCAACCAGGACGGGCCTAGGAGCCTATGGGCGACAGCAGGGGCATCGCAACGGCAAGGGCTGGCGGGGCCCGTAACCCTGTGGTCGGCGACAAAAAAGAACAGCAGCAGCAAAACAAAACTCCTCCCCTTCCCCTCCCTCCATCTGTCTGTCCGAGTTCCATTCTCCATCCACCCTCTCCCTCCATGCCTCCCCCCGTCCTCCCTGCCTCCTCCCTGTCCAGGGTGGTTGGTTGGGGCCGCGGTGTGTTCGCTGCCGCTGAGCAGGGCGGCTATAAACAGTGCTGGAACCGTGAGGTTCGGCATTGTCTCCATACTTGTGGCAGCTTGCCTGCCCGCCCCGCCCCAGATGGCGCTGCGGTTCCAGACGAACCCGTTGGCTCCCGCCTGCGCCATCCAGGGGGGGGCCTCCGCCCTCCCGGCTGCCGCCACGGCCAACGCGAGGCCGCGACCGCTCTCGCCCCCAAAGCAATGCACCAAGACTTCCGACGTTTTCTTTCCATCCGGAATCCCTGGACCTCTGGACCGCTTCCTGGAGACCCGCTTTTCGTCCTGGCTTGTTCGTGGACGGCCCTGGCGCCCGGTGAAGGCTGCCACCAGAATCGGCGAAAAAGCTCCCCGCCCTGATTTGCTGAATATGCTGGAGGTCTGGGCAAGTACTGCCCGGGCCACCACCAAAACGTTCTGATCGGCGGCGCCAGAGATCCGAGCTGCGGTCGTGGCTACGGCACACCTCACGCGGCAAGGAAGGCCGGGAGGGAAGGGAGGGAGGACAGCGCAGGGCTGCAGCGCCCTCGGAGCGCGAAGCAATTCGGGACGTGCCGGCAGCAGGCTCGAGCCCTCGAGGCTGTCAGCGCGACTGCGGCAGCACTGCACATCCAGGTCGAGGGAGCGAGCCTGCGAAAGTCGGAGGACATCCAGGAGCACAGAGCAAAAGAAGCTTCAGACCAGCCCCCCCGCGGCCGACGAGCTCCGCGGCGCGCGGCCACCCGCCGCAAGCGGCGGCCAGCGCGCCGCGCAGGCCGAGCGCCCCCAGGGCGGCGCCCAGGGCCGTGCCGCAGGCCGCCAGGAGGAAGGCCAGCAGCAGCCGCCGCGTGTCGCTGCCGAAGACCTGCGCGGACGACGACGACAACGACGACGACCACCACCACCACCACCGCCACCACCACCACCACCACGACGACGACGACGACGACGGCGCTGGGAGCGATCTGTGTTTCGGGCGGATTGGTGTTTACGACTCCGCCGATGTTGTTCCGGTTCGCCAGGGCCTTGTAAAATGGTTCTGGGGCGACAACCTGCGGAAGTGAACTGTGCGCCCCACACGATGGGTTCAGGGTTTCTGGAACGGGCCATGAAGATACAACCACCAGGCCTGGCCGAGGCCGACCGGGGCCCTTGCATCGTATGACGCCGACCTGCCGGGTCCACGAGGATCTGTGCAGCATCCTGGAGCGCAGGACGCAGAGCCCCGCCGTCGCGAATTTGTCTCAAGGTGGACTTGGAGTTCTGCACCCCTTCCCCCTTTCCCAAGACCAGCTGCTCATTCTGACTCGATTTTTGAGGGTCCCAAGGCCCAGCAAGGGCCCCTGGAGCCCGAAATGTGTCAAGAACCTTCCGTCGTGTCTTGTTCAAGACGCGAGGGCGCCCACGACGGCCCTGGCCAGGCATGGTAGTGTTTAGATGCCGTCTGCGGAGGACCGCGCGCAGGTCGCAGGACAGGAGCAGCAGCGGCGTTGCCAGCGCAACCACCTGCGGCCGAAGGTCTGGCAAATCCCCTGGGGCCCTCTGGCTCCTCCGTCCCTCTCCCCTCTGAGTAACGCAGCTATTTCGCACCACCATACGTGTCGTCAGGGCGGGCAGGGCATTTCGCCTGAGGCTTCGACCTTGAACCTTAACTTTCCAACGGCTACACGGATGGAGGGCGAGGTGTTTTGAAAAAGGAGCTCTCGCCATGGCGACGCGCACACTCGTCTTGAAAAAACAATAGCTCTACGGACGGAGTGCAAGGTAGCTTTCAAGATGGGGTTCGCGCATTGCCGCCGCGCACAATCGTCCTAACAAAAATCCACCAATTGCACGGATTCTCCGCTTGTACGAATCCAAGTGAGGTTATTGGATACGATGGCGGTGGTGGCAGCACGGGGAGGAGTCCTCCTGGACAGCCGCACATGCTACGTCGCGGGCGACGCATGCAGATGGGGCTGCGCCGCCACGAGCCAAGGCGGCGGCGGCACGAGAATCGCGTTGCATAAATCTCATCGGAGCATTCCTTCAAAGACGAGGGGGGAGCCAAGCTCGACAGTCGCCACCTTGCATGCGGACTCATGGCAGCACATGCGTAAGCCAAAAAATCGGCGCAGTGCATGAAGACCGGGGATGCCTGGAGCTGCAGTCATGTTGTCATGCTTCCATGATCCCAGCACCTTGGCACCAGCGTGTGTTGAGCAGAGGCAGGCTGGATGATACAGCTCGAACAGGACGGGCCAGAGGCGGCCCCGAAAGCCCAAAGGGTGACCGATAAGGGCCCAGCTCAAGAGGCGCTCAGCGAGGCGGCAACGTGCGGCAACGTGGCGAGACCTCGCCAGAACTACCCAGCGCACGAGGCGGCAGCGAGGCAGCAACGAGCGACAACGTGGCCAAACCTCGCCAGGCCCACCCAGCGCACAAGGCGGCAGCGAAGCGGCAACGAGGCGGCAACTTGATGAAACCTCGCCGGCCCCACCAAACGAACGAGGCAAACATCGCCGGACCCACCCAGCGCACGAGGTGGCAACGAAGCGGCAACGGGCGGCAACGTGACGAAACCTCGCCAGACCTACCCACCGCAAGAGGCGGCAACGAGGCAGCAACAAGGCGGCAACGAGGCGGCAACGGACGGCGACGTGGCGAAACCTCGCCAGATCCACAAAGCGCACGAGGCGGCAACGAGACGGCAACAGGCAATAAAGTGGGAAATCCCCGCGGGGCCCAACCAATTCCTGAGAGAGACAAACAAGAACCCCTAAGCGCAAACACTGTTTGGGGAAAGAAGAAGCAAGAACGCCCGAAGTCCAGGTACGATCTCCTCGTGGAGTTTACGCCCTGCACTTGTCGTAGCTGTGTTTGTTACGTCCTGTCAACGACGTGGCACAACCGGTTACGCGATGCGGTCGAGGGGGGATCGGCAATGGGAGCGGGGGTATGGATGATGCCCTCCTGTGGGGCGCCCAACGAGAGGACGACGAAGAGGGAAGGAGGAGGGCGAGGAGGCGGCATCTGGGGCCGTGCACGGACGCGCGCGATCCACGAGCGCTCAGGCCTTCTCCTTCTTCTTTTTGGCGACCTCGGCGGCGCGCGCCTCCTTCTGCTCGTGCCGGTACTCCGAGAGTCGCTTGGCATACGTCTGCTTCTGCTCCTTGGCCTGCTCCATCCTCTTGCGGGTCTGGGACTTGAAGTATCGTTTCCTCTGCAGCAGGGCGGGCGTGACCAGCCGCTGGATGCGGGGGGCCTTGGACTTTGGTTTCTTACCCTCGGCGCGATCGATCGCACGGCGAACCACGAAGTTACAGGGGTTGTCCTTCTTCTCCAGGTTGAACAGCTTGCGGATGTTGGAAGCGCGCTTCGGGCCCAACCTGGGGGAACGAAAGACACCGATGCTGGTTCTCCCCCGACCTCGCCTCGGATGCGTCCTGCCCAAGATTCCGAGGCGAATCTAGCCGTGGCGACTAGCGCCCCCTGGGAAGCCTGTCAAGGCGTGTCAGGGCGGAGACCGGTGAAAGGTATCGTTATCGGCATGCGCTTCTCCTCTGGCAGCCTGCGCGGCTTCTGGTCGTCGGTCAGCCCCGGGATCTCCTCGGCTCCCTTCTTCACCAGCGTGAGCGCGAGGACTGCCAGGTCGGGCCCCACGACGCAGCCGCGGACGGACTTGCGCTTGCGGCAGCCGGCGCGGCGCTCGCGGTAGCAGGACATGCCCTTCTTGAACAGGAGACGCACGCGATGGTTGCAGAGAATGCCCTGCTTCATCGGGAAGCCCTGCTTGTCGTTGCCGCCAGAGATCTTGAAGGTATAGCCCTTGAACTCATCGCCGAGCGAGTCGCCCGACACCTCGACTGACATGCGCTTATCGTAGAAGGGCAGCAACTTCTTGTCGTCGTCCACCTCGATCAGTTTCTGCAGCCCCGTCGTCGGGTTGGCAATGTTGAGCTTCATGGCCCCTTTGCGATGGAGTGGATAGGCAAATGAGCGGGAGTATGAGATTGCGATTCCGAGCCACTCCACGGCTACGGAGGACGGGGGGGCAAGTGTCAACGGAACCAGACGGTCCATTTAATTCACTCATGTCGGCTGCAATGGAGGAGCAGCGAGCCTTCTTGGCTTGCCCATCCATTCTCGTGTCACCGTATTCCTTACCAGGCATCCTCAACATCATCGTAATCCTCGTCATCATCACCATCCTGACTCTCCCTCCTCATCATCGTTATCATCATCATTCACAGTAAAGCAATTACTACCTTATCCCTACTCATACTATTCCGCCCAGTCCTCGCTCTTCCCTTGTTTCCCCCGCCTCGCCCACCCCTGCTCCTCATCCCCTCCATCCGTCGTCCCCTCACACCGCTCCGTCCTCCTCCCATCCTCCATCCCTTCCTCACACAGAGTCCCCCCCTGTCGCACTGCAGGACGCGTCGTCAGGGCGGGTCCGGCGGGTCGCCTGAGACTCCCTCACCGCTTACGACACTGAAGCCCGAAACTCCAGCAGCTGCACGGATGGAGGGCGGGCCGTCTTCCAAACGGGGCTCTCGCCGTGGCGCCGCGCGCACTCGTCAAGGCGTCGCGACTGGCAAGCGTTTCAGAACATGAGGCGCTCGCCCCGGCACCGCGAACACTCGTCTTGCAAAACGACAGACACCTGGATGGAGATGCGCGCCTGTTCAACGTGGGGCCCTCGCCCGAGACTTCTTCGGCACGTGCTACCTCGAGTTTGGAACCCTGCACCTGCCACACGGATGAAGGGTGGTTCGTTTCCGACACGAGGCTCTCGTTGAAGCCCTTCTGAGAATGGATGACCGGGGAGTTCAGAGTTGTACAACAGCTAAAAAGGGTGGAGGGCGGTCCCTGCTCACATCGGGGTTGTCACGACGCACTGCTCTAAAACTTCTGACCTCACTCAAAGGATGGATTTTTTTCCGCGGCGCGAGCTCAGGAAAAAACAGGTCTTAAGTAACTCCTCGGCGCGTCAGCGCGCAACGAAGATGTCACGAAATTCGGCCCGCCATTGCCAGCGAAAGCTGACGAGGAGGAGGAGGAAAGGAGGACAGGGGAGAGGCGTAGGAACGGCAATCAAAAACGCAGCAAGTCAACCTCACTCGAAGGATGGCGGGAAGCTTCTCTGCAAGAGGAGTTCTCCCACCTGAAGTGAGGCCCAGGGGCGCTTGTCTTCCCAGGGGAGCCCTTCGCGCACGGAGTACGAATGCCTGAGGACAGGCAAATGCTCTGGTCCTCCTCCTCCTCCGCATCCTCCTCCTCCTCCTCATATTCAACCGTCTGCTCCCTCCTCTTCCTCCTTCCCCTAACATCCTTCCTCCCTCCCTCCCTCTCACCCTCCCTCCCCTCCTCCCTCCTCCAGCCCTCTCGCCCTGCTCTACACCTCATCCTCATCCTCCTTCTCCTCTGCCTCCTCCTTCTCCTCCTCCTACTTCTTCTCCTCCTCCTCCTCCTCCTCCTCCCCCTCCTCATGTTCCTCCATCTCCTCCCTCCTCCTCCTCCCCTTTCCATCCTTCCTCCCCCCCTGCCGCTCGCCCTCCCTCCCTCCTCCAGCCCCCTCGTCCTGCTCTACACCTCTTACTCCTCCTCCTCCTCCTCCTCCCCCTCCTCCTCCTCCTCTTCCTCCTCCTCCTCCTGCTCCTCCTCCTCATGTTCCTCCTCATGTTCCTCCTTCTTCTGCCCCCATCCGCACCTTCCCATCCTTCCTCCGTCCCTCCCGCTCACCCTCCCTTCCTGCTCCAGCCCCCTTGTATTGCTCCACATTCCTTTTCCTCCTCCTCCTCCTCATCATCATCATCCTCCTGCTCCTCCATTCCTTCACCTTATAGATAATTCCTCCCTGTCGCACCCCGAAGACAATTGTTAGGGCGGGCCGGGCGTTTCGCCTCAGACTTCCTCACCACTAATGGCTCTGAAGCCTAAAAAGTGAGAGAACAAAAAAAAATGATGGAGGGCGGCTCGTTTTCAAAATGTGGCTCTCGCCTTAGGGCCGCGCACAGTCGCTTGAACAACTTGAAAGAGTTTCACGGATTGAGGGCGGGTGGTTTTCAAGATGTGGCTCTCGCCTTAGGGCCGCGCACATTCCTTGTAAAAAGTTGCAACAGCTTCGCGGATTGAGGGCGGCTCCTTTTCAAAATGTGGCGCTCGCCTTAGCGCCGCGCACAAATGATTTTTCATTTATATATATATATACATATATATATATATATATATATATCAAAAAAAAAAAAAAAAAAAAAAAAAAAAAAAAAAAAAAAAAAAAAAAAAAAAAAAAAAAAAAAAAAAAAAAAAAAAAAAAAAAAACAAAAAACGCAGGAGATTCGCGGATTGAGGGCGGGTGGTTTTCAAATTGTGGCTCTCGCCTTAGGGCCGCGCACATTCGTTTTTCAAAATTGCAAGAGCTTCGCGGATTGAGGGCGGTTCCTTTTCAGAATGTGGCTCTCGCCATAGCGCCGCGCACATTCGTTTTCAAAATTGCAAGAGCTTCGCGGATTGAGGGCGGTTCCTTTTCAGAATGTGGCTCTCGTCATAGCGCCGCGCACATTCGTTTTCAAAATTGCAAGAGCTTCGCGGATTGAGGGCGGTTCCTTTTCAGAATGTGGCTCTCGTCATAGCGCCGCGCACATTCGTTTTCAAAATGTGCAAAGAGCTTCACGGATTCCCATGATCCGAATGCCAGGAACGGCGCTTTGGAAGGATTCAGGAATTATGCGGGCGCAACAGTTATGTTGATGCGCTGTGTTGAAATCCCAAAAATGGCGCTCTGGCACGATTCCGGATCGTCAAGACGCAGCAGTCAGGGTGATACGTGGCGTTGGAATCCCGAGAACAATGTTTTGGCATGCTTCAGGATCTTCAAACGGTTGTCTTTCAACGAGGCAGTTCCCTCAATAGAAATGAACCGTTGTGGGGGCCTGTCAAGAGGGAGCTTGAAGGGAGGGCTACGTAATTCCAACATCGTTAATGACTCTTGGCTTTACACTGGTCCTCCTCCTCCTCCTCCTCCTCCTCCTCATCATCATGTTCCTCCTTATCCTCCCTCCTCCTCCCCTTCCCATCCTTCCTCCCTCCCTCCCGCTCACCCTCCCTCCCTCCTCCAGCCCCCTCGTCCTGCTCTACACCTATTCCTCCTCCTCCTCCTCCTCCTCCTCCTCCTCCTCCTCCTCCTCCTCCTCCTCTCCTCCTCCTTCTCCTCCTCCTTCTCCTCCTCCTTCTCCTCCTCCTCCTCCTCCTCCTCCTCTTCCTCCTCTTCCTGAAGAGATGTAGAGGAAAAAACCACAGAATCCCTAAGAACGCCCTAGAGCCGTGCAAATCTTCATGGGTCCCGCCAGGGCCTCCAGCCCAACCCCTTCATCCGACTCCTCCTCCTCATCCACCCCCCTTTCCTCCTCCGTCGCAGCATCGTCATGACCTTCATCGTCCTCATCACCACCACCGCCGACAACCTAATCGTAATCATACTCCTCATCATCAGCAACAGCTGCATCATACTACTAATCATCACCGCCGACAATGCCAGCATCGTTATTCGCATCAACGGATGCGTTAGCATCAACACCATCAACATCAGCATCATCATCAGCAACCTCATCATTATCCTCGTCATCGTCATCATCATCAGCAGCAGCATCATCAGCATCAGCATCATCAATATCAACATCAACATCATCATCATCATCATCATCATCATCATCATCATCATCAGCATCATCATCACCATCTGCTTCACCCTCATCATGAACATCATCACCGTCATCAGCAGCATCAACATCGTCAGCATCATCACCATCACCGTCACCGCAGTGATCAGTATCGTGATCATCAGCACAACCCTTATGAACGTCGGCATCACCATCGTCGTCACCATCGTCATCCTCCTGAGAACCTTTTCCAATCGCCTCCTCCTGCCGCTCCTCCTTGGCCTCCGAATGATCTTCAATATCCCCCCCCCAGGCCTCATCATCGCCCCTCGCATCCCTCCATCCCCCCCCCCACTCCCCAGCCTCTTCGTCATCGCTCGGCCTGCTCATAATCATCGCCATTGCCGTCGTAATCAACATCACCTGCAGCATCGTCATCATCAGCATCATCAGCAGCATCAGCAGCAGCATCATCATCATCACCACCACCAGCATCGTCATCATTATCATCGTCATCATCATCATCATCAGCATCATCATCAGTATCATCATCATCAGCACCATCAGCATCATCATCATGGTCATCGTCATCATAATCGTCATCAGCAGCAGCATCATCACCACCACCAACGCCAAAATCTGTATCATCAACAGCAGCAGCAGCATCAGCCGCAGAATCATCCTTATCACCGTCACCATCACCGTCACCTTAAACTGCCATCACCAGCAATCGCTTAGCGGCGCTAAAGAGAAGGACGGTACATCCAGGATGTATCGTGGCGCATCGTGGCGAAAGCCATTCCCAAGTCGAGTCGTCACGCTGCTGTCACGCTGCTGCTAGCGTCCACCTTCTCTTCCTCCTGCTTCACCTACCTCCTCCTCTTCCTCCTCCTCCTCCTCGTCCTCCTCCTCCTCCACATCATCATCCTCCTCCCCAACTACCCCTCCTCCTCCTTCTCCTTCTAATTCTCCTGCTCCTGCTCCTCTTCCTCCTGCTCCTCCTCCTCATCATCACAGTCATCATCACCGTCGTAATCATCATCATCATCAGTCATCATCATCATCAGCAGCAGCAGCAGCATCAACATCACAATCATCAAAACCATCATCATCATAATCGGCGTCATCATTCACAACAATATCGTCGTCAGAATATCATCATCATCATCATCATCATCATCATCAACAGCAGCAGCATCAACATTGACAACATCCTCATCAGCATCATCAGCAGCATCAGCATCAGCATCGCCATCATCGTAATCAGCGTAAGCAGATCATTATCCTCATCCTCATCATCATCAT